GAAAGTGGCGCTTGACGGATTGAAAATAGATCACTTAATTTATAGAAACCAATGCGCTGTTACAAATAAGCTTCTAAATATGTCCAAAGTCAAATTCTACACAGAGAAAGTAGAGTCATGTAGTCGTGATATGAAAAACCTTACCAAAGTGATCCGGCATTTGGTGGGTGCAAACACAGATGTTGTGCTGCCATCTGGTAAACCTGCAAACGTTCTAGCACAAGACTTTAGTGACTTCTTTGTAGATAAGGTTGAAGGCATACGTAATGGAATAGCCAGGACCAAACAGACAATGTTGTCCCTGAAGCACCTTTCAATGGAGAGCAATTTTCAAACTTTTCAGTAATCTCTGATATGGAAATTTCAAAAATTATTCGCCATTCGCCAAACAAATCCTGTGAACTTGATCCCATTCCAACATGGCTGATGAAAGATTGTTTAAATGAACACAAAAATCATAAACACTTCAATTGAGAGGGCCTATGTACCACCCCCTTTTAAAAGTTCTTGAGTCAGACCTTAAATCAAAAAGTCAGGGTTGGATCAAGAGGTTATGAAAAACTACCGGCCAGTATCTTATTTACCGTTTGTCTCCAAAATTCTCGAGAAAGTTGTCGATTCCCAACTTGAAAGACACCTATCTGCACATAAACTTCATGAAGAGCGTCTGTCAGCTTATAGGCAGTTTCATTCAACAGAATCTGCTCTATTATGTGTACAAAATTACATTCTCCATTTTTTTGATCAGAATGAAGCAACTGTTCTAGTAATGTTGGAATTATCTGCTGCGCTTTTAATACGATCGTCCATAGTACCCTCCTTTGCCGGCTCGAACAACACCTCGGAATATTAGGCAAACCTTTACAATGGATGATATCATATCTGTGTGAGCGTCAACAAACTGTCTGCGTCAATGGTGAACTGTCAAAACCTGTACGTATGACATTTTCTGTGCCACAATGGTCCGTTCTTGGTCCGAAGAGTTACATCATGTACACCAAACCTGTTGGCGCGATCTGTCGGAAGCATAAACTTCAACATCATTTCTACGCTGATGATTCGCAATTGTACATGGCATTTAAACCAAAGGAAGCCATTTTACGCAATGAGACCTTGCGACGGATTAGAGCATGCCTGAATGACATCATACTATGGATAAATAATAATTTTCTGAAACTCAATGTGGACAAAACTGAGGTGATCGTCTTTGTACCAAAACAAAGTGATATTGAAGATCTTACTGTAAGAGTCGGTGATTCTGTTATAAAATCATCAACAACTGTTAGAAACCTTGGCGCCGTATTGGACTCTCATTTAGACATGGAACAACATGTGAACTCAGTTTCTCGTTCATGCTTCATGAAAATACGACAAATAGGTAAAATTCGTAAAAACTTGACTGTTGATTCAACCGGAACCTTGATAAACTCGTTAGTGACATCAAAATTATATACTAGTAACTGTAATTCGTTGCTATATGGATCTCGAAAGTACGTTCTCAACAAGCTCCAAAATGTGCAAAATACGGCTGCTCGTGTTATTCCCAAGACACCGCGAAACTGCTTCATAACCCCAGTTTTATAGGAACTACACTGGCTTCCTGTGCACATCAAAGTCGAGTACAAACTTTCTACATATGTGTATTAGGCGCTTCATGGACAGGCACCTAAGAACATACGAAACATGCTAGACATTTATACCCCATCCAGACAACTTAGGTCCCAGAATGATTGCTTAACACTTGTTGTACCGCGTAGTAGGACTGTGACTTATGGTGGTCGTGCCTTTATGACGGCAGCCCCTAAACTCTAGAATGCCCTACCTAGAACACTTAAAAGCTGTGAAGTTCTAATTGTGTTTAAGAGAGCACTTAAAACTCACTTATTTGAGAGGTTTTATTTGGACTGATTATTTTTTAGGCTCTTACCTGAATTTTATTATTGATGTTTGTTTTTTTTAACTTTTTTAAACTTCATTTGATTTGAATTTATAACTTGAGCGATATTGATATTTTAATTTGTTTCTTTTGTTGTTGTTTTTTCTTTTAAATATTGTATCATTTATTTGTACTTTTGAACGTGTCAATGTGCATGAAAAAAGTGCTTAAGAAGTTTGGCCTAGAATAATACATTCTGTTAGTGACCTTTGACCTACTAATCTAAAAATCAATAGGGATCATCTGTGAATGATGATCAACTTCCCTACCAACTTTAATGATCATAGGACAAAACATACTGAAGCTATCATCCAAAATGGTCTTACCATTTTTGGCCACTTGACCTAGACATACTAATCTCCAAATCAATAGGGGTCGTATACCACTGATAATTAAATGATTCTAAGCAATTTTTAGCATTTTGGGTCATTGTGACCTTTATCTTTGACCTACCGACTTCAAAATAGATAGGGGTCATCTGCCAATGATGAACAATTTCCCTATCAAATTTCGTGATCTTTGACTTAAGCATACTCAAGTTATCATCCGGAAATGGTTTAATTTTCGGGTCAATGTGACCTTGGCCTTGGACGTAGTTTTCCACCTCCATATCAACATTCATGATCCTAGGTCAAAACGTACTCAAGTTATCCTTCGGAAATAGTTTAAACACTTTGACCTTGATTTTTGACCTACTGAAGCCAAAATCAATACTTCTGCAAACTGCAAAATTATTATAATTTTGTGAAAAGAAATTATGCAAATAAATGGCGATTAAATCAATATTATGATTATTTTTGATAATAAATATAATTAGTTTCTAATATTATTTGTCTGCAAACTGCAATTTTATTGTAAAATTCTATTCAAACGCTATTATTTATATTTTTTTAAGTCAATTCCGCTCACTTTCGTCAATAAAGTCAGCAAACCCCGATGCGTGTGTAAACCATGTGGTGTAAATAACGCATTTTCATTGGATGTTGTTTTTCTTTACCGAGAACTTAAGTCACGTGTTTAAATTAAAGCATTTACTTTTCATTTTAAATTATTTCATTACGTTTTTTTTTACTTATTATTATAACTTAATTATATGTTGCTATTTGTCCATGTTTAAAAAAATATGAAATAAAAAAATAAATGACAATTATCGCGAGTCTCATTCACGCAAGATTGGGCCAAAACAAAATGATATTGCGGTTCCAGTGACCTGACCAACCCTGTATTTTCTCACCTAAATAAAATCTAGAATATTTTATTGCAAAAATGGAGTATCCTTTACGAGTAAATACAGTTAAATTTAAATAAAATTCTAATTAAAAAAGAATAAAAAGTTTTCCCGACTTACCTACCCTATTATTTTTCAGCATGCTTCCAGAACCTCAAGATCACTTTGTTTTGGCCTTATGACGTCAACCACACAGGCTTATTTTTCCCCATGGAATTTTTATTCTCTCGAGCCTCGAGACCGTCGTGTAATATGTGGTGACAAAGGTACCTATTACTTGGGTACCATATGCCACTTTACATGGAATGGCACGGAAGTGTCACATTAAAGGTTCCATTATAACCGCCATGTGCACACATCTGCGGATGTTTCTAAATACAAAATTTTGCCATTTCATGTTTAAATGTTAAATTCTGCTTACGTAGTTTTGCCGTTTTGGACTTTCTTTAGAGATTCTTATTTTCTCTATTTTACTTAATTATCAAACCCCGTTGAAATGATCATAACAATAGACATTAACAGTAGACTGAAATGTATCTGTTGCCTTGATTCAGTTTTTACGTCATAAATTTATGTTCAATATCAAATCAGGTTGATTTTTTGCAATAAATGAATGACATTAAACGATAGATATTAATAAATAGAAAAGTAAAATTCAAAACATGGCACTTGTATACTGCATAATTCACATACCTCATTTATTATTTATTTGTAAGTGCGTATACCAATTGGGAGCATTTTGCAGGTGTGCGATGGCATAGTATTCTACCATTAGGATAAAAGTGATAAGATATTCACATTAAGCAATTACTGTTCACTTCCCCTCGGAGGGTGCTCGTCGCTGAGAAGGCAAGGGCATCGGCAGAAGATTTGAAGACTTGAGATGGCGCAAAAACTTCTACTTTGGACCAGTGACCTACTTTTGGCTCAAAATTCATATCTTTGGCTAAAACTCCGAGTATATTGCATGGAGGTAAATCATCAAAATCATCACCACTTTGTGTTTCAAAATTAACCCTTTAAATGCATGAGTGGTGACATGTCCGGGATCAGTACTCGACAGCGAAAGCTGCATTTTGTGCCTTAAAGGGCGGATGGACCCTTATTAAGCATTACATACATACATACATACATACATACATACATACATGCATACATACATGCATACATACATACATACATACATACATACATACATACATACATACATACATACATACATACATACATACATACATACATACTTACATACATACATACATACAGGCACACACACACTCACGCACACATAAACACACACACGCACGCACACAGACACACATCATATATATATATAGCATTTAGGCTTGGGGTGTGACGGGGGGCTGCGTCCTGTGAACGTTGTCTTTGCCTTGTGGATTTTTATCCACGTCTTTCATCGGAAAAACACTCGTGTACGGTTCTCTAAAATGAGAGGTTATCTTTGTACCCAAGTAAGTACATGTATTTTGGAAACAGAATTACGCTTGAATTACTGCGTTATGAATTTGGAGAGAATTACAGAAATAATTTAATTTATACACTTAGAGGTATATTAAGTTTTTAACACTCCAAAAAAGATAATTAAACTTAAAACTTTCCTGTTAATTAAGTTCTACATTTGAGACTGTTATATGTGACTTTCCAAGAGATCTTCAGAAAAAGGAAAGTCTTTTAAAACAGTCTCGAAGAAAATTAAAGTATCATCACCATTTTGACTTAACATAAATGAATGTGTGAAGGAATAATATCTTACCAATTGCAAATACACATAGGCAAATTTGATGTAAATTAAATAAGAATTCCTGAAAAACAAATATGATCGCATGTTTATCACATAAAATTTAATTATTTTTTTTTTATTAAATTTATATTGAATCATTATGGTACAAAATAAACTTAAATTTGATGCATTCAAATCCTTTAAATAAATATCATTTTAAGAGAAAAACATACAGTATCCAAAGTTTTTCTCTTAAAAGGTCTGGTATTAACATTTTCCAAAAATGTAAATTATAATAATGCTACCTAAAAATATCTTCCATTGGCACTCCATAAAAAATCTGACACTTATCTTAATCCAGTCTGTTCGGGTCATTATGTACATGTTAACACACCATATTTTTAACCAGTAGGGTTAGATTTTCCTTTTAAACGCACATGATGAAATATCAATAAATGATCCAAATCTAAAAGTATGGAGTCCATATGGACAAAGCATGAAATAAACAAAAAATCAGACCCTTTAAAGTGACAGTATATTTTGAAATCCAATACATGTAATTTTTCAAGTATTTTTTGAATATTAAGTTCAGTTCAAGTAAACACTTATGAGTAAAGACATTTTACGGTGCAGGCCATGTTGCAATTATAATAATTGTACAATTCTCTATAATTGCTATGTATCAAGTGCTACTTTTTGTTTGTGCAAGTAAAAACTAAATTCAATGTATATAACTGTTACAGGCCATACCCGAGAACAGTTGTAAATTCCGACTCTGCTGTTCTTGCGAACAAAATCGCTCCAAATCTGACATGTGTAACGTCATGAATGAGTGAATACGTCACGTTACCAATTACATCGATATAGATGACATTAAATGACCCTACCCCTGGAATAATGACGCTAGTAGATGCAGCTGCGACAATTGCCGATCCATTTAACTTAAGTCCTGATACATCGGAAGCAGAATCAATAACGATAGAAACGACACTTGGGTCGATAAAAAATGTTGGGATCTCAAAGTTACATCTGTTTGTAAACTGTGTAAGAGCTGGAATGATTGTCAGCGATGGATCTCCATAAATGTTGGAGGAACCGTGACCATACTGGGTGACTAAAATGTTTTGTGATGACGTAATTGATAGTATTTCTGATGCATAAAAGCTCCTGAATGTCGAATCTTGACGGTTCATTACAATAGTTTCCAATGGATATCCGTTAACGTCCCATATGTCCACAGTGGTAGCATCATGTGGAGCAGCGATGCCAATTGTGTACATAGTCCTTGTTCTCTGGTAAGGTACTACAAACACAGAACCAAGTGTGTTTAAAGGTGGCATATTTTCCATAATGAAATCACAGAAGACAGCATCATGGTTAGGAATATTGGCACAGGCGTGTCCAGCATGAACGACCACTGGGTTGTTAGCGGAAACAATCGTTCCTGCTATTGGTTCTAATTCATTTGCCTGAAATTGGTAGGTTTCATGTTTGTTCAGTGCTACTGTCAGTGATGGACCTGTAGGGAATTCTAAAAGGACGTCAGTGTTATCATCTGCAGCAATAACAAGAATCTGTCCTGTGCCCCACAAAGACGAATTGTGGGTGCCCACAATATACAGCAAGCCCCATTCCTCTTTTGGCAATTCCAACGTGCCATCAACAGAGAGGCTTCTGTGATTTATGGAATAAAGGGCAATTGGTTGGTCAGATACTATTTCGACACCTTTGAAAGAAACATTACTTGTCAGTGCTGGCATAAGACTCGAAGAGTATTGAAGGTGAAGTGATTCACCAAACATGTGTGGTTCCTGGTATATACCAAGGTATGGTATTGTCACTAATACATTAGTTAGCACTTGACTAAGATTAGCTGATATTATTACGAGCTTTGGAGTTCCCGGTGTATTTCTACTGTTACTCATGAAGCCTGTGAAAAAAGTCTTTCCAAACTGATTACCATTAGCGGATGATGTTCCTGAAACCAATAAATCATAAATTTAAGTAAAGCCTTTTATCACATGAAATCCATTATTTTTAATGCAATATATGTCACTTATTTCTTTGTTCTACACCTGTAATATACCGATATTTGTGTTCTATTTTAATCGTCTGTTCAAACATGACGAAATGTTTCAACATAGTCATGTAATACAAATAATCTGATAAACGTTGTCACTAGATATTAACTTAATGAAACGCTCTTTAAAACGTTAATATGCTTGCTAGAGGCTAGCTTAATTTTACTTTTAAACGCCCATTCGAAAAACAGGTCATATAATAGGAACGCCTCTGGCTGGCGGACGGGCGGTCTTGCGGGCGGGGCGGCGTCCATATTTGCCTTTTACACTACAAGATGCAGTGTTAATGTGCATTGCCCAGGTATCTGGGTCAAAGGTCAATGTTACATTTAGAGGTAATTGAAAAATGCTTGTCCGCAGCATACTTCTACAAGCAGAAAGGGATTTCGATATAACTTGACACTTTTCACCATCGTAAGGCAGAGTATTGAACGCAAAATTCAGATCCCTTAAGCAAAGTTTAAGGTCATATAGAGGATAAAAACATGAAAATGTGTATTCGGACCATTTAATCATCATTTAAAGTGATTCTGTGCTTATTCAAGAGTACACAGTGAGTGTACAGGTGAAAAAAAAAAATAAGTTTTTATACAGCCATAAATCCTTTTAATGCCTAGGTCACAAATAAAACGGGCGCCGTCCGATTAAACGATTTTTATAAAATCAGCAGATTTTTTGATGTCGTGGACGCCGGGCGATTTTAAATCTGATACCTTGCGTGGTCACGAATGAAACAGTCGTCGGGCGATTTTTGCTGAGTGGATTTTACAGAAAGAATTGAACGGATCAGGCGGTCGCCGCCCGATGTCCGTACGGTGCCTGTGCGATTTAAAAGTGAATCGGACGGTTGCCGCGCGGGCGCCGGGCGACAATGACTTTACATTTAATGACATCCTAGATAAATCAGCCAGTTGTAATTATGCCAGCAAAGAAGTCAGCTGCCAAACCCAAGGGAAAGGCCAAGGAGTTGGTCCGTGTTGTTGACAACGAGTCACCAACGGCCAGTATCGATGCCGTAGAAGGCGAAAATCAATCAGACATTCGCATGGACATTGAAGAAAAAATTCATGTTTACTAGTATTCAAAAGAAATTCACAAATATATTTTTGAGGCAATTACAACTTCTTCAAGCTGAAAATACAACAAACACAAGCAGCCCGGTCGCCGGATGACAAAACGATGACCGCCCGGTGCCTGTACATGAATCGTCCGGGTACCGGACGATAATCGTTTGACTACTTAGCTCTATTCAGGCACCGGGCGGGGCCCGGCCGATGTCCACCCGGACGCCTTTTAAATCGGACGCTGTTTTAGTAGAACAAAAAATCGCCCGATCAAAAAAATCATCGCCCGGTCGCCGCCCGGCGACCGAACGATGTCTGCTCGATGATATTTATACCCAGTGACCCCAAAAATTATCGTCCGGCCGCCGTTAGCTTTTAAGTATTACTTAAAACTCGAAGGCGCCCGCCCGATGAGCAAAATTTTGAGCTGCTGCCGTCCGATAGTCACTGCCGCCGGACGGACGCCGGCCGATATTGCGATTTTTTGGAGAAACAGACGCCGCCCCGCGGCATTTTCTTATTTGTGACCTAGGCTTAAAGTGACATTATGCCCATCCAAGGGTATAAAGTGAGTGAACAGGTGAATATCAAAATAAGTTACATTTCGCCATTATTCCTTTTAATTTAATAATTGACTTCCCATAAACAAAAAAAAAATGCACAAATCCAAACAAAATTTCTGTAAATATATATATTAGAATTTACCTCTAGCGCTCTGTTTATAAGAAGAGCGAGGGAGTTATTTTATAGGCAGATTTATAATATTTATTATTATTTATTTATAATATATCCGTACGTTTACCAATATAAACTGTTGGTCATTCACCATTTTAACAGTCAATCTTTTGAAAAATAAAGTCAATTTAGCTCAACTTGACTATGAAAATATGAGGATAATGTCACTTTAATTTAATGATTTACATCATATAAACAATAAATAATCCCTGGATCGAAACGGAACTTCTGTAATTATCAATAAGAACTTACCTATAATGTTGAGTTTATAAAAAAGGTGGGTCTCTCTTTTTTTTCTATTAAAGGTAGATTTTAAATTTTATGCTAAAAATTTCCAAAATAAACTGTTAGACTAACACCATTTAAACGGTCAATCTTTTGAAATAAAAAGTCAATTCAGCTCAACTTATCTATGAAATATGAGCATAATGAGGGATTGTAACACACATTACGGCTGTGATACTTGTAATTTATTTTAATATATACAAGGCCAATGTCATTAAAAAATGAGGAAATATAAAGATTGTGTCCGGGGCATATCCCCCAACATCCATGGAACTTCAAAGAAATGTTTTTGCACTATGAGAATCAGTGTCATATATCTGAACCAGATATCTAGGGTTAAAGGTTGAGGTCACTATAAGAGGTCATCTAAAACGCTTGTTTGGAAACTTCTACATTCATCGGGGGATTTCAATTTGACTTGGCACAAATGTTTACCACTGTGAGGTTGAGTATTGTGCACAAAATCCAAATCCCTGCTACCAACATCAAGATCACATAGAGAGATCAAAGTTTTGATAAAAAACAGAAGATGTGAACAGGGACCATTTAGTCTTAACTTATTGATTGAGTGTAACACAATTGCAACACAAATGATAACTATCATGACTACAAATATGACACATGCAATTAAGGTTAATATTTGCAAGGTCAATGTCATTAGAGACCGTAAAATATCCAGATATTGTCCGGATATTACCCATCTCTAATATGCATATCTATAATGCCAACATCCCTTCCAAACTTTATATGACGGACGTATTTTGCGACATTGTTGCGCTTATTTTTATTCGATTTATTAAAGTTTATATGAAAGACAACTCATGCATATATAACAGCATTTAGAGTTAACTTTATAATTCATGGGACTTTCTCTATGTCAATTTGATTCTTAATGTTTATGTGACAGAATATAGATGCCATTGTACCATTCATTTTGTAAAAATTACTAAATAATCATAGTTTATAAAAAATAAAATAATTTATGGGATAGTAATATATGTGTTTCCTTTCCTTGAAATAATAATTAAAAAATCTTTAAATCATAATTATCAAATTTATTGAACAATTTTAGACACTTGTACTTTAACAGAAAACTGTACATTGCTGTTGTTGTTTATAACTAATTTTCTAACAGAATTTTCATTGAAGTGAAGGAGGTATGGTGGCCAGTAGTGTCTATTTTAAAGCCGCGAGATGTTAGCGTCAGTTTATAGAATGTCGCAGGCGAATTTTAAATTCACGAGATTTTATGTCAAAATTGTATAAAATGTCGCGGCTTGTAGAAACTCTCGAGTTCTACTGTCACACATACATCACTTCTTTCATAAAATGTCGAGTTTTAAAAAGGCACCGCGTCTTTTTCTGTCCAAATAGTAGACTAAGTCACGCAAACATATGCCTACAGTTGGTGTTTATTATAACCATTTGCAAATTACACGCATTGGTTTAATAAAAACTGAAACTAAAACATGTTGCCGTTTGCGGTCAGTATAAACGCGATATTTAATGTTGATGCATACCTTGTAAAAAGACGAATTTAAGCTAATAATCTCGACTTTTTATGCCGGGAAATGTCTCTTTTAAACAGTCGCAGCTGAAAATTGCTATAACTCGCCGCGATATTTTATGAGGTCGTTGTTAAGGAACAAGGAGTATGGCCTCGACCTTTGTAAAATTTCTACAATTTTTGCAAAAATGACACGGATGTCTTTCTGTTCCTACAAACTGGAATAAAATTTAGTCAAACCATGGATGCTCGAGTCAAAATGTTCCTTGCTGTTTAATATATAAAATAACGCGATTTATACATTCCCCGCAACATTTTGTACGATTTCGGCAGAATATCCCGCGGGCTTGTATTTTGCCCGCGACATTTCATGATAAAGCGATAAAATTTCTCGCAGGTTTGAAATAGCCGTAGCCGGCCACCATTAGGAGGTGAAATAATATAAGCGAAACCTTCTATCTGAACTTCAATAAAGTTTTTGGAAAGTCAGAGGTGTCTACGGCTTTTCGATCAGAAAATATTATTATTCCATATTAAATAAGTAAATAACAATTAATTATTACCTTTCATCAATATGGTGGCCATATTGTTGTCGTTTACATTTATAATGTCAATCAGTCCATCAGTGCTGAAGAGACACTCGTTATTGCTGGAATTATATGATGCCGACGTACAGTTACCTGCATTCAAACACGATTTAGCACAGAACAAACGTGACCGTGAAAAGACCGTTGATTGCACGTTTGTCACCTTTCTGGATTGCAGAACTACAAAATCTTTCTGCCTTATTTCCCCTTTGACATCCAATGCTAAAATCAACACAAAACATGCTAGATGCGTTACCTGCATGTACATTCTTGTTAATAAGAAATACCAATATTTTAATAAGTTCGGTTTAGATCCACGTGCGTTCTGATGAAATATTTGAAAACTAATTCGGTTTTATTTGACTATTTCAAACCCTCTTAGGCCAATAGCTTTCTATTATGTGGTTATCAAGAAATTACAATTTCATCAACGTTGTGTAATCGATAGATATAAATCGAATGTCTAAATTAATCAAGATACCTAGAATAAAGTTAAATCAATTACTTTTTCAAAAAGATTGTATTTTTTAAGGTAAAAATGCAAATGCTTAGACAGTGATATAACTACAATTAATAGATATTATATACAATCCGAAATTACAAGAAACAGCAGATAAATATGCACTGGTGAATACGCAAATATTATGCAAATATTTATACATGCGCATTTGAAAGCAATAAATAAAAGTCTTATTTGCTCGCTCGTCTGTTTCTAAGAAAATGTCGAGCTATAATTACGTTCTTATTTTGCTCATAAATGACGCAACATCACTGTGATGAAATCGAAAGCGCATGGGAAATTCAGCCTTTGGGTTATCAGAGCTTCGACAGAAGCTTTCAGTTGCAGTCCTAATTTTACGGTATATATTTATGCATTTTTACATAATGGATGTACTTGTACCATCTTATTTTCTACAAAACATCTACAAATAACAACTAAACACTCCAATGCAATATGCGAGAACGAGTGTATATATTAGGGACAACATCTATACGTTGTAACGATGAGTACCAAATTATCTTCTCGGTCTTTTGATAAGGGCATGCCTGATTCCCGTGAAACTATAACGGTAAAAGTGTTTGCACACACGGAATATATGGGATAATCCTTCATTTGCCGTTTTCCAGATATTTAAAAGTTTAACACAGTGACGTGGCGCATACACGAGCATACGCATTGTAAAATATTACATTATATTTTAAAATTCCATGTTCTTGTAATATAGTTAATATGTTTAGCAATGCAATTCAGGAAAAAGGTATCAATTTTGAGTGCAATAATGAAAAATAATGAACGTTTT